TGGCAGCCTGCACTTATGACCAGGCCGCTTCCTCCTGGCAGTCTCACAGTGTTCCACAAGACAGGGATTATCAGAGCCACTGTTTTCAGCACCCCTCCCTTTAGCAGAGGATGCAGGCTGGACTTAAAAGTTTTAGGCTCATCTCACCCTCGGGCCTGGCATCCTGGTTTCCTACAGTTATGGATGATTGTTAGTTACCATGTGGGTGCTGGGGATCAAACGGGGGTCCTCTGAAAGAAAAGCCAGTGCTCCTAACCACTCTGCCATCTCTCCTGCCCTGATTTATCTTCTGGAAAATTAGTTAATAGCGTCACATAGGGACAAATGGAAATTGGAAAGAGATAAAGAGTAATTTATTTTGGAGTGCTGATATCCAGTTGGATTTGGTAACTTTTCAAGCAAGACTGAACTGCTGAGGAGAATCCTGGTTTGGGGGAATCTTTTCTGCTGCACTCATGAGCATCAGCATAAGAGTAAATTGAGTAGAGGATGCAGTGATTTCTAACTTGGGATTTTGTGAGATGGCTTTGGTGAACAGAAGTTATGGATGTAAAATTGAGCACTTAAAGTAGTAAATGAAACATTACAAAATGCGTATTTTGTTTAAAAAAATGGATGATTTATAAGTAGTTGGAGAGAAGGACTGACTGCTCCAGCGGAGGGCCTGAGTTTGGTTCCCAGCATCCACGTGATGGGTAACAACCGTTTATAACTCCAATTCCAGGTAATCCAGTGACTGCTTCTATCCCATGTGGGCATTGCATACATACAGTGGTACAGTTGCATACATACAGGCAGGCAAAACTTTCATATACAGAAAATAAAAATATTGAATTCAATCTTAAAATTTGTTTCTGACTGTTCTGTAATAATAAGCTCCTTATTAATTAGGGCAGTGTGACTGGAGTAGAGTAAAGCTAGAGTCACTGGATTTGAGAAAGCCAGTATCTTTTGCATTAAGATATTGGATAGCGGACCTACATAGGGGTTGAAATCTCCTGGACTGTAGGCAGAGCTGGAATGCAGTGAAAGTCTATGATGAGATTTTTGAGTGCATCAGTGAAGTGATAAATGACTGGAGGTTGTTGATATCGGTGAGTATTTGTGGAAAGTACACCAGGTGCATACGAGAGTAATGAGCTCAAGCTTAGAACATCGCCAACCCAATCTCATTCCAAACCTGGGTGTTTACAGTAGAGTATATTTAGTCATTTTGGAACAGGACAGAGGTAAAATAGTTATGGGGGGATAGATAAATCCAATTTAAATGAAAACTTATTTGGACTAATCCTCAGAAATTGAAATTAAGATGTGTCAATGCTTATTTTACATCAAGGTACTCAGAAAGCAGAAAGAGAGATCAGAGGTAAGGGTGCATCTGAGCAAGGTTCACAGGTGTATGCCCTATTATGTGTGGTGTCAGAAGCTGACATGGATTTGTGTCCCAGATCTTTAGGCTTTATCGTAGCTGCTCACTGCAGAAAGCAAGCAGTGTTTCACTTTCAACTTGTGCATTTTCCATTTCAGGTTTCAGTGAAATCTCATACTTAAGCTCTGATAGGTGTTCAAATTCATCTGCTGAGAATTTGATCTCTCCTCAGAACATCACAAGCAATCTGATAGATTAGGATCCCTATGAGTCTATGAATCTTGTTGTTCCTATATTCTGAGTGAGGTCTTTCCAGGAACATATTCTCAGTAATGCTTCTGTGTCACAGATATGCAAGTACATGTATTATAATCTCAATGTTTCCGTGGGAGGAAAAAAGCTGTGCTTGTGAAAAAACCCACTAGTAAATTGAAAAAGAGGAAGCCCAGCTTTGAAAGTTCCCATAAAGGTGAGATAAACCTTATATTTGTTCTTCAAATTATGATAACCATAAACCCAAATTCAAAACTCAGCTGTTGTGTAGTTTTATTTATCAAGGAGCTAGTCTACCTGAGGCATCATTTAGCAGGTGAAATTTGTCGATATTTGCCACAGCCAGCCAAGCTTTATCAGTCTAGAGTATAGGACTTAAAACCTACAGTCCACTAGATTTGGGCAGCCTCCAGTTCAACAATGTCCCTGGGCCAGTTCTGCGCACAGACTACCTGCAAGAGGGGCCTTGCCCCTTATAGACTCAGCTACCATCCTATTGGACCCGTTTTCCCAGGCATCCTTTCACACATTGTGTGCATGGAGATGGGGCGGGGCTTTTTCTCTGTACAACTCTCACTACAGCCTTTCTATGATTTCAGGAGCCTTTCTTGGGGAAAATCAGAGTCAATACTTTCTCGGTAATTTCAAACCCTCAAAGAATGATGGCATTTTATAGCTAATTTCCCTCCAAAAAGCAAATGGTCCTGGGACCTGGATGATGGTTTGGCCAAGATCCTGGGTACTAATTTGGAATACATAAAGGCTGCAAACCCTACCGAGGTAAGACCCAATGTAAAATAAAAGATTGGATATCTATTTCCTGAAGTTGAAACTGAGAAAAGAAAATAGAGGCAACACATAGATGAAACTGACCTGAGATAAATATAGGTTAAAATTATTTTTTCTGTTTAAGTTATACCACAGGAAAAAAAAAATAGTGTGCTAGCCTGTGGGGGACCGTGTTAAGACTGATAGCTATCAAAACAAAAACTAAAATCTTCTTATTCCTTGACAGACATAGTTGTAAAATTGAAAGTTATCGAGCAGTTTTCCTGTAGCAGACACTGTTTTAAGGACTTACATTCATATTTTTATCTGTTCTTCTTTCAGTTAAGTAAGGCAGGTTCTATTCATGTTGCTCTGTATAAATAAAGAAGTTGAAGAATGCAAAGGACTAATAAATTCTCTGAGTCAATCAGTGTAGATCTTGACTCAGTGCTAAGACAGAATGTCTTCACAGCCTCCAATAGAAACTCCATTATTACTTCTTTCCATACTAGAAAATGTGGTAAAGACTTAAAAAATTATTTCAAGGCAGGTTAGGTGAATCATTAGGGATCCACCTATTTATTTCAAATGCCTTTGAATATGCTGACAAATACAAACCACATAGAGAATCTTAAGAGATCTGGGTGGGTCTTTTAATACCACTGGAATAACATTTGTTTAATACAAGACAAATGCCAATTGGGGGGAATGAACGTAATTCTGAAATTTAGAAATGTGAACAGTAATTAAACTGCAGACATTCTACAACTGCAGTAAATTAATTGTACCCTCTAGTAATATGCAGCAGCTAGCCTTTTGGTGGGTAAATGCAAATGAACAGGGTTTTACACTGTAATATACATATTATTTCAAAAACTTGGTATAAAACAAAAATTATTTCATGTTGACCACATATTAAAATAATCATTATTTTTAAGTATTTTGTTTTAATAAGATTCCTTAAGATCTTGGAATAGCTCACAGAGATAGCTACCTAGCAGGCACAAGGACTTTCTTTCCACTCCTAACAACAAAATAAGGTGAAATGGAATGCATCGTTCATATTCTCTTTCACCTTTTAAAATGTGGATAAAAGGAAAATTAAAATTACAATCTAGCTTTGTTTTTTTCTCTTAGAAATGGTGTTCTTAAATAAAGGATTGTAGTCATAAATTATAGACCCTCACAAGTGGATAAAACTATCATGAAGTTTTCTAACATGGACTCACAGAGCACCAGAGTAACACTTATATTAGCTGCTAACTGTGATGCTCAAAAAATGAAAAGAATTAGAGAAAATTAGAATGTAAATTTCAGTAAGAACTTTTTAATGATCAATGTGCAGTGTCTTAGTTTATTCTCATATTGCTGTAAGAAAATATTCTGGACAGCTGGGAAAATGTTCATATGAACTTTCAGCAATGGTAACAGTATACTCGAGACCCATGCAAGCTCAAACCAGGCAAAATTCCAGCACAGAAATGGGGAAGTGGGTTAGAAGCCTCAAACTTAGCTCAGAAAAGACACCAGGACTGTAAAGGCAAAGTTCCATGGAAGAGCAAAAATAATATACAAGGTATCAAGAATAGCAGTCAAGAATTTTTTAGTTCTTAACTATCAACTTATAGAGAGGCAAACTGACTTGAGAGAAGTTGTATATGAGAATCAGAAGTTTCAGGTGACTACACAGAACATGAAGCCACAGATTTGATAAATACTTAGTGAGGGTTCCAGGTGAGCCATAAAGACTATTCTAGGAATGTACTCACAGAATTTCATAAGTCATTAACTTCAAGCTGAAACTCTGAGGAACTATATTTTAAAACTCACTGTAATTTCTGTGCGTAGACATGGACAGTAAGTGATTTCTCACTATTCTGGCATATGTTTCTCTTAGGGAAGAGGTAAAGAAGCTGGGAATATTGATCAGAAATGAATCAGGTCAGGGAAATAATGATAGTCACTTATAACTGAAAAGTCACAGGTAAGGCTCAGGGAGCATTAAGGAAGGGGGGGCATAGAAAGACTTTAAGAGCCTGAAGAACCAGCCACCTCTTGCTAGAGGCATTCTAGACATGGTAAGGACAGTGTACTCACTAAACATCCCCATTATGGTTGCCTAAACAAGACCTACATGATGACATCTCCAGTTGACATGCCAATGTAAATGAGGGAAATGACAAATAGTCCAACTGCAGGTGGAGCTATAGGCAACAAATAGCTACTGAAGAAGAAAGAAGCAGTTTATTCCAAAGGTGGTTTCCCTGATAGATTATGCAACCCCAAGAGGTCACCAATAAGCATATGCACAACCAAACACTAAGTTGACTCTTCAGGTGTGTGTGTGTGTGTGTGTGTGTGTGTGTGTGTGTGTATGCACAGAGGCCTGAGGAGAACTTCAGGTGCCCTGCTCTATCACTCTCTGCCTTACTCCCTTGAGAAGGGACTTCCTCCAAACCTTTGACTTGGGTTGGAGACTAGAAAACTCCAAGAATCCACCTGTGTCTACTCTCCCACCCTACCCTCAGCAATAGAGTTAAAGTCACACACACACACACACACACACACAAACACACACACACACACACACACACACACACACACACACACACCACTCTGGCTTTTTACAACCATTCCTAGTGACTACTGGGGATTAAAAC